TTTTTTTTTGGCAGGACCAGGGATTGAACTCAGGCCCTTGCACTTGCCAGGGAGGTGCTTATTCCACTGAGCCATCTCCCTGACCCCTACCCAAATTTAAAGAAGGAAAGATTTATTTAGTTCACAGTGGAAGTTTCAGTCCATACTCAGCTGGCTCCAAGGCAGAGTGGCACATGGAAGAGGGCGGTTGTTCATAGTGGCAGAAAAAAACCAAAACAAAACAAATAAAGGGCAAAAGCCAAAAAGGGAGGAGCAGAGGCTGAGGTAGCTAGCAAGCCTCTTTCCCTTCCTAATATTGTATGCAGATTATCCACCCCAGGGCACAGGTAGGACTCATACCCATAAAGCCAGAATTGGATCATGAATTAATCACAAACTCTAGAAGCTGCCCTGAGACTGCATGACAACTAGATACAAACCATAACACAGGTAGATTCCTGGGAATTCAATGCCAGCATGGGGTACATAGTGAATTCAAGGCCTGAACTGTCAAAAAACAAAAACAAACAAACAAAAAAGTTGCTTATAACATCCTTTCTTTTAATTTTGGCAGAACCAGGGATTGAACTCAGGCCCTTGTACTTGCCAGGCAAGTGCTTATTCTACTGAGCCATCTCCCCAGCCCCTATAACATCCTTTAAACAGCTGTTTTAAGTAGTAAGAATTTTCAAAGTTTAGAAGAAATGAAAATAATGGTTTACATTTTGGGTCATACTTTATTTTTTTTCAAGCCATGACCATTTAATTCAGATCACAAAACTTGAGATGCACACCTAACATATAACCTTCTTTTTTGTTTTTTTGGCAGAACCAGGGATTGAACTCAGGCCCTTGCACTTGCCAGGGAAGTGCTTATTCCACTGAGCCATATCCCCGGCCCCCAAACCTTCTTATATTATCTAACTGCAAAGTTTCTTTTCAGGGCATCAATGCAACCAAGTTGGAATTATCTAAATAAACTTCTAATGCCATTCTTAAAAGTATTATAAATAGACTATATTGTGAATAAACTTAAACATTACTTTTTTTTTTTTTTAGGACTAATGAAAACTGATGAGGTAGAATAGCGTCAGCAGATTTCCTAGCTCTAGACCCCTAAATTAAGCTTGTACTGATTTTAAATACAGGTAGCTTTTTAGCAGTGAGAGACCTGTGTTGCTGAGCATCACTCCTTAATGCAAAGACTTAGGTTTACTTTTTCAAATGGTTCAATCTCACTAACATGTAAGCCCTTAGCAGATCTCTAGTAAAAGACCAATTTGTAAAACTGGGCCATTTTAATGTCTTCACAATTTAATAAATAGTTTTCTTAATGAATGTAATCATGAGTTGTAATCAAATGCAGTTGTTCAACAGTATTCAAGTTATGGTTTTCCTGATTGGTCTGTAGTCTTCAATAAGTGTAAAAAGTTACTATATGAAACATCTGTCAAACTAGTAAGACTGCACTGATGCATCCATCATTTTGGGGATTGTTGGGTACCTGGGCATATTTACCCCAGATAACCTTGCCTCCTTGTGTCCAAGGCCCAACTTGCTCACGTTCACCTCAATCACTGTTCCTTTGGTAATAACACTAGAATTGTATACAGTAGCGATGAAGGATTCTTTTTCACACCAAGTATTGGCAGGCAAAAGGTGGCTTTCAGTTCAGGATGTGTTACATGGGCCTTCTTAAAAGTAAGCCCACTGGTCTAATGAATCTTCCATATTTAGGTTTTCTTGTAAAGTCATATCCAACAAAGCAGACTTATTAACCATCATCTTCCACGCCTTCTTTTTTCTTTCCAGTTCGAATAACTTTTAATACTTCCGTTTCTCCTTGGGCATGAACTTTGGGCAGAGGAACTTCCCATTTTACCGCCTTTTTGTTTCTGTTTAATCATGTTGGAAAGTGCTTTTGCATGAGACTGTCCCTCTCTGTCCAGCAGGTAGGCAGGTACTGCTTCTTGTGGAGTCTTTCATTATTCTCTTGTTTGACATTTCTCCTTTTATGCATCTTGATAGTCTTCTTCATTTGTATTTTCTCCACATGGCGCTGTTCATGGTAGAGCTGAGCCTTCAGGCCAATCATTTTTTTTTTTTTTTTTTGGCTTCTTTGAACGTTCATGAGCCTTTTGACTTTCCTTCTTTCTCTTTTTCTCATGGTAATGCAAGTGATATCCTAGAGTTTATGATGTAATTCAATATATTCATTTTGTGGCATGATGACAGCTGCAGAGCCTCCACGGGTGGCCTCAGGTGTGCAAAGAGAAGTCTTAACTTTGGGGTGTCCCAGATGCAAGAGACTGGTTCATACTTTAGATCTGTATTGCCATTTTTTAAGTTTTACTTGACATACATTTGATACAAGCAGAGATAATTAACTCAAAATAGAGTATCATTTTCAAAACAAACAGCTTGAATTTTCTTTTATGTTAAAATGTAGAGAAAATCTTAGAGAAGATATTCAGGATAGTTGCCAACAATATCACTGAAACAAGTTTTGGATTTTTGTGTCAAAAACTAAACCTGAGAAAGTCAGAGTATGAAGTCCTTACAAAGAGGTATGTATGAATGACAACATTTGCTGAAGTTTGTTCTCATATTATGATTATATTCTGATAGTGCATGGTTTTGAAAGATTCATATTATTCTACTGTACTACAGAAGACTCATTTTAGTTTTTTATGTTCAGTAGAGTAACAATATGGTACTAGTTTTGAGATCTTGAAAATTGAATTATGTTTTTATAAGGAAACAGGGATAGGATAACGCCAACATTCAATTTGTATATTCTGAACTCTGCTAACCTTTGCTATAACTTCTTTTTACTAGTTAACTTTAGACTCTGGTGAATTGGTTTGAAAACCTATGTACATAATATTTAAGTAGTTTAAAATAATGTTCTTAATTTACAATTGTCACTTTAATTTTTTCAGCACTGTTTTATTCAATGAAAAAGCCTACCAAGTATTTGCTAAATGGAAAACAGAAAACGTATCACTAACTGCTGCTGCTTTAGAAAACCAACTAGTTCGGGCTCTAACTATGATAAGAGCATATGAAATTATAGACAAAATAACAGCCTTAAATCTTTTCACAAGTGCAACTAAGTTCTAAACAACAGATCCATAATAAAAATTTAAAAATGATTATGCAATTATACAACTGAAATTGGATTGTGGAGCCATCTGACTTTATCATACAAGAAAACTGCAGGTGATGTTTCTTTTTATAGATTACTAAGAAATGGCAATTTCCAAATACCACTCTAATATTATAATAAAATATTATAGGCACACTTCGTATATTCACTTTATTGCCTTAAAAAGATGATATTGATTAATTTGTTTTTTATATTTTAGTAAGGGTCTAGAGAGTGTACAGGGTCTCACTCTATAGGTCAGACTCGTAGTGATTTGCCTGTGTTCAGCCTCCCAAGAGCTGGGATTACAGGTGCACGCCACCACGCCCAGTCTCAATCACCATCTCAGCATGCCCTGGGGGTGGGGCCATTAATACTGAATTTGAAAATAATTACAATAATTTGTTATACACTACTTTTGCCTACCAATTAATAAGGTTACAAGATTTTTACTGTATTAAAATGGAGCAGTTTCTTTTTAATTACTTGCTTGAAAATGTTAAGAACTTCAGGGAGAGAGGGAGAAACAGACAGAGACAGACAAAGACATAGGAAACAGACAGACAGAGACATGGAGACACAGAGACAGAGATATTGAGACAGAGACAGAGATCTAGTTAGTCTGGGCTCCAAATTCAGCCATCTCTGAAGCTAACTATAGCTATGAACTTTTTATTTTCATTCACTTTGGCTAGTGCTACTTTGGTTCCTATAAATTTGAATAGAAAGAGAACCTTCTAAAGTAGTTATTAATACTGTAGAAAGAGTACAGTTTTTCTGGCTTCTGAAAAATAACTTGCATGCCTGTAATCCTGGCACTTCAGAAGCTGAGGCAGGAGGGTCACTGCAAGTTTGAGGCCAACCTACGTTACATACTAAGTTCAAGAGCAGTCTAGACTACGTGAGGGAAACCCATCTCAAAAATCAAAAGCTAAAAACAGACAAAAAACAAAGAAACAGACTATTTATTTATTTTTATTTTTATTTATTTATGTGGGGGGGGAACTCAGCCCACCAGGGGGCAGGACGGGCTGGCATGTGGGGCTGGGGGATTGAACTGTGGGTCCCTGTGCTTTGCTAAGCTTGTTCTAAGTAGGTGCTTTAGACCACTGAGCCATCTCACCAGCCCCAAAACAGACTTTTTAATGTGAGATCTAATTATAAAAAGGAATTTATTTTCAAGACTGGAATTTAGTGTATCTAGTGTTGTCATTGTTTTTAAATGATAACATGAAATACTGGTTCAATAACTGTCAAGCCTGTATTTGTGACCTGTCCTCCCCACTTATTTTGCTTTGCTGAGAATCTTTGCACATTGCACATGAGCACTCCATCACTGAGGTGGATCCAGAGTTCTACTGATTTTAAAAATTGAGTTATCTGGGGCCAGGGATATAGCTCAGTAGCACAGCACCTGCCTGGCAACTCAAAGTCTTGAGTTTGGTTCCCAGGGCAAAAAATAAATCAATAAAATAAAATAAAAACTGAGCTATTTGTCCTTTATTATTATTGAGCTATAATAACAGTTTTTATGTTGTAGATGAAAGTCCCTCATTAAATATGAATTGCAAAACCTTTTGCCTATTCTGTGACTTGTCAGTTCTTCTTTTAAAAAAATATATTTGTATGCAAGATTCATTATATGTTTCTATAACATTTTCAATTGTAGTATAACACATTAAGATCACAAATGATCAAAATATATTTTATTTTAAAAAACATTTGCAAATGCTAATTTAAAGGTTATCCAAAAAATTTAAAAATGAAATTGCTATAAATCTGGCATCCTGTAAGATTCTGACTTTTAGGATTATGAATATCTGAAATGTCTCAAATTATTCCATGTTCCAATCTAGATTTTAACCCTTTCAATAGTTTTTTTGGGGGTGGGAGAATATTTTGTGGTATAGTTTGGACTGACCTTGAACTCATCAGGAGGCCCAAGCTGACGTTGAACCTCTGTGTTCCTCCTGCCTCAGCCTCCTGAGAGTTGGGATTACAGGGTGCACCACAAGGCCAGCCTTTTTCGTAGAATATTAAAGAATGACCAGTTAAATATTTTACCCAAATGTGGCAAAATTACCTGACCATGCAAAGCACAATAAAATTATGTGGAAAATAAAAAACAATCATTAAAGCAGAGTTAGTGTACCTGGTAATACTTAAAATTGGTAAGTGAGTTTTTTAAAAGTTGTATAGCTACAAGATGACTTATTCTTAATTGTTGAGAAGTTTTATCTAAGAAAAGGTAATTTCAGTTTAAATTATCTTTATGCAACCTGACTTACTCTTTGGATAGCATTTTGATAATATTAAGCCTTTAATTTTTAAGTATTAACATATTTTAGCTTTCCTATGGTAGAGTCGGGGAAAAATGGCAGAATTTGAGATCATGGTCTAATTTCAGAGAATGTTTTACTACTTGATTACATTTCTTGGTTTCACATTTAGTCCACAAGAAGTAAGGGATGTGCAGCATTTTCAAGATCCCTGTTTCATTGTCCCTTTGAAAACCAGGTCATTGAGCATCATGTCCCAGAAGGGCCCCTTTTGTGTTCCCATGACTGTGGCCAATCCCAGGACACCAGAATGTTCACAAAAGTATTCCCTACCAGACACTGGGACCTGGGCAACCTAGTGGTATCTGTAGAATCTGCCTTTCTGCCTATAGGCTGTCAGGTGTTCTTTGAAATGTTGATCTCACATGGGAACAATGAGTCCTCTGTTTCTGTAGCTTTCATAATCATTTTTCCCTACCTGGGACAGAATACCTGACACCCACAGTTTAAAGGTGGAGAGCTCTATTGTTGTTCATAGTTAAAGTCTACGCTAGCCTGGTCTGAGGCAGGAATGGCATGGCAGGAGGGGCTGGCAGAGGACGGCTGTGCATCCCATGACATCCAGGAAGCAGACTGCAAAGCAAGACACTAGGGAGGGAGCTGCGTGTCCCCAGTTACCTGTCTGTTTGACCAGGCCCTGCCTCCTAACAAAATATATATCTATGAACTCATTAGTCCAAGAATTCACTGATGACTGCAACAACCCCAAGATGCAGTCGCCTTCTGAAAGCCCACCTCTGAACACAGAAGCCTTGGGGTACATTCTAGAGCTAACCCATGGCAGCGGCCTAATGTATAAGACCTCTGATCCTATAGTGAGGACAGAGGATGGTGGAGAGGTTAAGTGGCACATGCTTCTACACTGTGGGCAAAAGAAAGCTGTGGAGTGCTACAGGACAAGCCAGCTGGACAATGGAAGTACTTTTTGGTAGTTTTCCTGATTGCACTGGACTGAAAACTGTTGTTGTTTGTACCACCACAACCGGACCTCCTGAGGGATTTTTTTTTTTTTTTTTTTTTTTTTGGGTCTGGCAAGCCATCATCAGACTCTGGCCTAGCTTGTTACACCTGGATCCTATCTTGCCTGTTAGTAAGTCTCACTTAATCCTATTCTTTCCAATTAGTAAGTCTTAATAAAGCATATGTCTTACACATTGTCTCTGGGTATTTTATTTAGATTCATGGCAACATATTCTACTGTCCCAGCACAGCTGTGGACAAGACACTTGTGTGTCTCTTATATTCAATTTTGGTACACTGAGTTCTGGGGTGACTTTCAACCCTTCAGCAGGATCTTTGCCCTGTGTGATCATCCATCCTTAAGTTACCAAGACTCAGATTTCTGGCTGAATTTACCTGCATTTTCCTTTCCAGATACAGATCTTCAAATTGTCTAGATTTTTCAAGTATTGTGAAGAGACAAGATAACCTATAAAATGGGAATCTGATGCTTAATCTGAAGGATGTTCAGGGCAAGATCTAGTTACTTCAGGCATTCAGCCACGCAGCTTTTATGATGTGTGCACAGGCAAGGTAGTCACGCCATAGTTCCTTGCTGCTGCGTTTCTTCAAGGTATACTGCACATTGTCATCTTTAACCAGCACTGTCTATTAGCAGACTCAACTGTCCATGCCGCCTCCTGCTCAGCATGATCAGAGAGGACAGGAGAAGTACTCAGGCTTTACCCAAAGCCAGTGCTGGAGAAGACAGAGGAGATTCTTCTATTATCAAATTTCTATCTTCCAATATACTTAGTTTTCTATATAACATTTAACTATATTCTTCTATTTGACTCACCGGTTTTGTTTTTCTTCTTCCAACTTCCTCGTTTTGTGTTAATAAAAATTATTCTATTTTTCCTTCTATTAACCTGTTACACATTTTTGTTTACTTAAAAGTTACCATAGAGACCGATACATACACATAGACAAATATATATTACTGTTTTTTTTTTACCAATTTCCTTACAGTACTAGGATCTAAAACTTAACTGCTTTTTTGTTTCCCCTTCAACTGTTTTGCTATTATCATGCATTGAAATTTTACAGCTTAAAATTGGAAAAAAAATTGTTGCTTCTACAAGGAATATTTCCACATTATCAGTACAATTATTTCTGCCACTGTTCTATATTTCTTCCTGAATTTTCTTCATTCCTTTCTTTCATTCCTTCCTGCATTTCTTCTTTTATCTAGAATAATTTTTCTCTTGTCTAAAGAAACCTCTTAATATATAATTCAGGTCTATTTGTGGTTAATTTTCTCAAGTGAATTTGGCAAAAATAGCTATATTTCACCATGTTTTCACTTGGTATAGAATCTAGTGATTTTCTTTCAGTGCATTAGTGATGTTACCATACTGTCTTATGACTTTCAGTGTTTCCTTCAGAAAGTTCTTTTTTATTATAGTTGAATTTTTTTCTGAAATGAATACATAGCATTAGATTAATAGATTGCACATTGTAAATAATTTACAAGCTTAAATGAGTACAACAATAAAAATTGTCCAAAATATAAATGAATAAAAAACATTGAGCCTTAAATACTGATTCTGTCCATCCTTCCCCTATGATTATAGTATTTAGTTTATTTACCTTCAATGCAACTACTGATAAAATAGAAATTGTATCTGCTATTT